CCTATGCCTGGGTTTTTTTTAAATAAAATGTCATGAATTTCAATGCCACCTGAGTTACCGGCCCTTATGGGATGAAGTATTGTTATGTTTGTCCCTGGATTAACACTAAGAGGGCCAGTTTATCTTCACAAGGTGAATCACCATTCAAAGTAGAATTATAGACAGAAATAAAACTGGATAAAATCTATGCTTGTTGGAATTTATTTGTGTGATTTATTAAATAAAATGGCTGGGATTGTTATAAAGGGAAAACTACAACCCCTTTTCTGCTGCATGGGCACTTCATCCTGTGCCAAGAGCTTCTACATCAGTAGCAAACAGAAATCATGTATCCCGACATCCCAGAACCAGAAGAACCTGCTCTGGTGTACATTCTGGTGGCTTCTGACCAGCAAAGTCCATGCCGCATCAGACTCTGGCAGACATCTCTGGCAGTTGTATTCAGTAGAGACTTGCTAATTCAGAAATCTGCACAGAGGTTTCCTGCACTTGGAATTTTAGATTTTGTGAGTTACTGGCATACCCAGAGGGGTGCAGGGTGTGTCACTGTAACAGAACATTAGATTAGAGAAAAGGCAGAACCTTCAACTTATCAGTTGCGCTGAAACAATGCAGCCAATTTTAGCATCTACAGAAGTGAAGTAATATGCTGCCTGTGTTCATGCTGGGGAGATTTGTCCTCACTTCCTTTCCCAGATACACCACAGGATGCAAGAGGAAATCTCCATAAAGCAAGGGGAACGCTACCTCCGGCAACTGTCGCCAGAACAGGTATCTAGTAAATTGTTAGGATGATGAGAATGGTCACAGGACAGAAAGAGTGAATTTCCTGAACAGAGGTTCCATCACTTCTTCAGTTTATCCAAAAATTGAAAATTTTGCTTTTAGATATACTTTAATTTTAAATGATAATAATAAGAAGAGGGTTCAACTTGGTGTGGTCTCTGAAAGTGGTTATGTGACCACCACCTTCAAGTACACCTAAAGGCAAAAGGAGTTAGAATGTCTTTCAAGGTTTTTATTGCTATATCTGTCCCCTCTGCTGAAACTCTACATATAACTAAAATATCACTTTTGGGTGGATTGACCCTTTTTTACAGCATATCATTACCAGATCTACAACAGCTGTCGAATTTCTCAGTATCGGCCACTTTCTGTAGCAATTTAATGGCTTACCTTACCTTTTTAAAATTAGTTAGGTTTTCTTTTTGC